ACCTATGTTACATTTATGTAGGTCTTTAATTAATTTATTATTGTCACTGATAGCATGATGCATCGATAGGTATTGATATTATGACACATGGCACAGAGCGATGCAATGCATATTGATGTGCAAATGACACAGTTACCATACAACTGTATCGCTACATCGATGTAATGGCAAACATTGCGATAGTTTTGTCCAATTGGTAATCACAGCCGATTTATTATTAGACTACTGATGTACATGTAATAATAATAACAATAGGCTATTTATATTGCGTATATTTCCACACCACTCAGAGGCATGCTCAAAGCGCTATTATTACCCCGGTTCTGGATTATTGTGCACTCAAGAATCATTCTCAGCTCCCTGGGGTGTATACAACCTGGTCCGAGCTCCTTAGGTAATTACAGCAGTCTTTTTGACTATGTGTCAGGTTTTCTTCAAATGAAGTAAGTTGCTCCATTCCCAGACAATTGGTATAGCTGGCATTATGTGCAGCTCTTAGCTCTTTCAAAAGTGCATAATATGCACACTTTCGTTTTCTTGTCGCGACCCATTGGCGAGTCTAAACACTACGGCAACAGGTCGTACTTTTCTGCTGTCTTCTAACAACTCACTGGATGAGGATGCTGCACGTAAAGACAGTTATTGTTTTATCTTCTAAGGAACCCATCTTAACTATTGTTACTGTGACGTTTTCAGTGTAACTGAGAGTGTCATAGAGGGTATATATGAGTAGACATAAAGTAGACAGATAAAGACGCTGGTGTGCGTATATGTTTGGTAATCGTCTTTCTGGCTGTTTTCTCCCGTATTTAGTTGTCATGTCAATGCATTTATTCCCGGTGATCCCACAGCTTAACGTCCGATCTAGCCGTCTGATCTCATATCCTGCCCAAACTACCGTCCACACACACACAGACGTACGTATAAGTGAAGAATTATATAATCAAATTTCTACCTTAAACTCCTCTGTCAATCTCTAATCTCCCTAACACGAGCAGTTTTATGCTGATTAAATATTTACTCTATATCATAACTGTTACTCGTGGATCAGGTCCGTAGACAGTGTCCTGTGATGGATGTAGAGACTTATCAACGTCGGAAGAACATTGCCAACCAGATGAGCTCTATGACCAGAGCAGGTTATGACGGATGCACGAAGTATTAGTCTGGATGGTGTGTTTGACGGGAATGAGGGGTATCGATCTGGCAAAGGATACACCAGACTTTTGTTGTCAGTGGTTATAGATGGGCAATAAAGGCTGTAGGCGAGGAAGAACGCCCACTATGCACTTAGGAGAAGTCACTTGCGGAGATTTTCCGTTCTATCCGTTGGGATTAGAGTCATTGTTTTATATCTATAATGTCGGATAACTTGCCGTGATGAAGCCGAATCCAATTCATCCATGAAACACAATTAGATTAACATCTTATGAAGAAGACGCATTGGAGAATCTGGTCACTGAATGAATCGTTGGTAGTTTAAGATTGTTCCAGCGTCATGATCTGCTCCAGGTTAATATAAGGGAGGTAACTCCTCTGTGCCGGGAACCCCATCAACCTTGGGATATAGGTCATACCCGTCGCCTTGTGTAATATGTTCCTTTCTGACAATGTCGATACATTGTGGTATTTCTCCTATTTTTTGAAAACGGATACTGTAGCTACCAAAACTATCATTTCTACTCGTGCTACGTTCTCTATTGCTCCTTTTTCTACTATTGCTACTATTGCTACTTTTGTTACTATTCCTATTCCAATGACACACGAGCATTTTATCATTTGCAAATGATGGATTCAGTCGAACGAGACGCACCAACTCGCTCTGCAGAGTTGCATCCCTTGGTCGTGTCACAATCCTATAACCCTGCGTTCGAATCCTTGATCCTCAGCACCATACCTGTGCGTTTCATGAAAGTGGTGGACCCGTGCAGATCCGAGCTGGAATAGGTCTTCAGCAACCCATTCTTGCGGTAAAAGGCGACTATGCTTGTCGTAAGAGGCGACTAACGCGATCGGGTGGTCAGGCTCGCCGACTTGGTTGATGTTTGTCATAGTATCCCAATTGCGTGGGTCGATGTTCATGATGTTAATCACTAGATTGTCTTGTCCGTCCCGCCGTCATATAGCAGGAATATTGCTGAGTGCGGCGTTAAACAACAAAGAAACAAACACATGAAAGTGGTGAACGTCTGAGACCTGCATGCTAATGGGCTTTCTTCCACATTAATCTGACACGCCGGGATTTAACTGGTATAATATCCGAAGTCGGGATAAATCTTACTCCCCCAGTCACCAAGTACACACATACAACTTGTGGACATTCACTACTACTGCCAGGGACTCCTCTCTTCCACAGGATAAATTGCGTGTACAACCAAGGTACTGATCGTATAGCAACTCGTGTAACAGTTGAAACAGCTGCTCCCTAGAACAGATTTCATGTCATGCCCAATACTTTAGTCCATATTCCTTAGTCTAATCATTACATTAAATTTTGTGGTTTGGTTTCACTTGTCAGTGCCGTCGACGTGTCCGTGTCGACCATGCGAGTGGGTCCTCCTTCACTCGTGTCGGTGAGTGCAAAGGTAGCCTTGCTCCAAGGCTATTCTGAAAGATGCGTCCATTGATGTATAGAAATTCTATGTTAATAATAGGCAAGTCTAGATAAGCGGACAGGACGTCAGCCTTTAAGGGTACAACTTGTTCGTATTAATCTAGAAATTATGATTTATACTCATAATTATTGCCGTCGAGGCTTGTGCAAGTTTCGCGCAAGAGAGACGGACATCGAAGCAGTGGTAGCATCCCACTCCACGCCCGGAATAGGTATCAGAGGGAAATGCTTCTTCGGTTACAACAAAAGAAGTGGAACGTTGTTGTGCTAAGGGCAAGAAATAGTTTTGTTTATAAACAGGGCTGCTGCGTCAATCGACGTGTTTACCTTCCATGGCGCGTATTATTTATTGTTATTGCTCATAAATAGGACAGTTTGTCAATCGGCTCGTTAAGTCTTTCATTAATTCTATATCCATTCCAGCTTGGGTCATATTACGGATATCCATTTCTTTGACGCATTCACAAAATGCAAAAAAAATGAAGAGAATTCTGTTTTGTTAGTATCAGATATCACGCTTAATATGACGACGTCAACATCTTCACACTCAACAGCTACATCAACTGCCAACAGTACGACTATTTCTATGGCCACGACAAATACTACTATACTACTACCTCCACGACTACTGCTACTACAACAGATTCAGATGGGTAATCTGGGGCTAAAAGGCCACCATTGGCCTACTGAGTTACATTGTTGATGGAAAACCGATGCAGACCCGTGAAGATCCGGGGTAGAATGTTTCTCGCGAACACCTGGTGTCATCACTGATTTTCATTGACCCATTCGACCCGTGAAGATATTGGGTAGAATAGGTCTTCAGCAATCCATGCTTGCCGTAAAAGGCGACTATGCTTGTCTTAAGAAGCGACTAACGGGATCGGGTGGTCAGGCTCGCTGACTTGGTTGATGCATGTCATCGATCCCAATTGCGTGGATCGATGCTCATGATATCAATCACTGGATTGTCTGGTCCAGACTCGATTATTTACAGACCGCCGTCATTTAGCTGGAATATTGCTGAGTGCGGCGTTAAACAACAAACCAACCTTTAGGGGTATCGGATGGCGTCCATCTCATGATGAATGATTACCGGTGTGAACCTTCAACTCTAATTTGTGAGGGAGCGGTGTGGTAACCTAGTGGTTGAAACGTTCGCTCGTCACCCCGGACGCACGGGGTTATTCTCAGAATGGGTGCAACGCTTGAACGCCATTTCTAGGGGTTAAAAGCGGCGTAAAACTATACTCACATTTGTGTCATCCTGGAAGTTCGTGTGTTCACCCACAATATAGAGGATGCACTTCCGACGACTCCGTTACACTCATAAAACATATCGTAAAAAAACAATTGATATACAGCCCTACTCCAATACCATATCCCGTTAGTTTTGAGCTTAAAGTTAAAAGAGCTTTTAGACATGTTTACGCACGATGTCTGCACTGGGTTGCCCTGTGAACGCAATCCTCTCATGTTCTATAATGAGCATCGTCTGTGAATACAGACACTTCAGATATGTATCAGAATATTGATTGAAGTCATCGTGTCCATGGACTAGGTTATAACAAATGTCAGAGTTATGACAAACATCAGCATTAACCCACGGCCATAGATGTTGATCAGTCACAATAGGAATGACACATGCACATCAATATGGTCCCAGCAATAACAACGCTGTTTTATTTATAGCGTCCATCAGTAAACGCAGGGCGAAATGTTAGACTTACATTAACTGCGGCCGGAATGGTGCGTCAAGCCTTGTTTATTATGTAATGAAACAGTATGGGATCTGATTATGTTTACCAATAACGGGCTTGTGTTACGCGTTAGGTCAATATAATCGCGATGTACACAATTTCCATTCTGTGCGGTGTTTTTATAGCCACAGCTGAGCGATTAGTCTGTCATATATTCATTCGAATACAATCTCTATGTTGATTATTTGCATGGCATGCATAATGGATAATGTCTGATAATGTGACGTAATCGCATGTACATTCGGTGTTTCGTCCAACTGAAAAACAATCTGGTTATAAAATATCGAGTTATTAATGCTTGAGGCAGAGGCGATATCATGTGACATTAGAATATAAATAAATACGTCAAAATAATAATTTATTATTTTATTTTTTGATTATTTATTCATTGACTCAAAACATTCTGTGAACAACAATTCGAAATCAGTGACATCATCCAGCGTAATATTACAACAAATACCTCGCTATTTTTTTATTAGTCAATCAGGAAACAGTAGTTCGTTAACGGGTGTGGCCTATTTTGGGGGTCATGGAAACATAAACGCAAAAATATTTGCTTGATTAGCAAACCAATGCCACGGAATCACTTTTCCAATTTATTTATTTATTAATGCTTATGATTTCAGAATAACGCCGAGCAAGTGTCACAAGCAGCTGGGGGTCACCGTGCTGGACTCCCAGGTGTCCATGTGGCAAGGGTTGGGGATCGAGACGTTGCTTACCTTCATCATGGTGTTCGCGGTGTTCGCCACCATCGACCCCAACAGGAAGGAGCTGGGTAGCAAGGCGCTCGCCATCGGAGTAGCTGTAGCTCTGTGCCACCTGGCAGGGGTAAGATGCAGTTTCATAGATCATGCCGTGTGAGCTTGAGACAGTCTAGGTGTAATGTGAGTCAGCCTAGGTGTAATGTGAGTCAGCCTAGGTGTAACGCGAGTCCGTCTCGATATAATGTGAGTCAGTCAAGGTGTAATGTTTGTCAGTCTAGGTGTAATGTGAGTCTGTCTTGGTGTAATGTGAGTCTGTCTTGGTGTAATGTGAGTCAGTCTAGGTGTAAAATGAGTCAGTCATGGTGTAATGTGAGTCATTCTAGGTGTAATGTGAGTCAGTCTAGGTGTAATGTGAGCCAATCTAGGTGTAATGTGAATCAGTCTTCGTGTAATGTGAATCAGTCTTCGTGTAATGTCAGTCAGTCTTGGTGTAATGTGAATCAGGTTATGTGTAACGTCAGTCAGCCTATGTGTCATTTGAGTCAGTCAAGGTATAACGTGAGTCAGCCTAGGTGTAATGTGGGTCAATCTTGGTTTAATATGAGTCAACAAGTGCAATGTGACTCAGTTTTGGTGTAATGTGCGTCAGTCTTGGTGAAATGTGGGTCAGCCGTCATGGCGTTATGTATTAATGTCAGTCATTATTTGTAAAAGCGCAGAGGTTACATGTACCTTACAAGGCTTGACGATGGCAAACAGGATCGCGTTCCACTAAGCGATCTGAGCACTTCAACTGTCCAAACTGCCATACCTGATACAATAGCTTCGAGTAACGGGACTCTGGCGAATACATACCTCGATTTCATCAGACAATTCATCTTGCAAGCCAATGTGTCACGTGTCATTACGTGTTTATAGGTACGCTTCCTTAAGCATCGTAAACGACTTGACATTGACCAGAACCCCGGGTAGTGTGCTGATAGGTTTCTAGACATGCACTGGTCATCCTTAACATTGTACCTGCTGTTGTTTCAGTATCGCTTCACCACCAGCTCCATGAACCCGGCGCGGTCTCTGGGCCCCGCCTTTGTCATGAATAGATGGAGGAACCATTGGGTGAGTCATTTCACTGGCGTCATGTGACGTTTTCAGGCGTCATCATTCGCAACACTGCTCATTGCTCTCCTGTCTGCACCCAGTCTGTTTCTCAGACCCTAGGCATTATATTACAAAATGAATCCAACTCAAGTATAGACTGATTTGGCAAGTCTTGATTGCCTCAGCTCTGTAATTAAGCATTGTTCTGGGCTCCATTTACATTTTACTTTTATTTTGTGGATAGATATTATTAAATGAGATAATTATATTTCTCGGTCTAAATGTTAGTCTTTAAGTATCCTTGCTCGGCTATTGGGACAAAACAGTTGTCGCTCGAGTACACTTTTTTTATCGTAAACCAGGATCTCGTACTGTCTATTGTATTGAAATGAGGAGGTCATGTAACATGACCAATACCGATCATGACGTGGCACGTCGGTTGGAATTTGTGTCGTCAGTGTACACGCACTGGAAGAATGAAGACTTGAATCCACAATACGTCAAATGCTTTAAGTCATTTCTCCCTTTTCAGATTTACTGGGTTGGACCAATGGTGGGCGGTTTAATGTCTGGCTTGTTATACGAGTATATATTCGACCCTAGTAGGAGTCGCAGAAAACCACGCAGTGTTGAGGAGTCACCATCGTATCCGGATGTGGATGAGGGTAAGAGTCGTTCGTAATTGTGCTGCTTTAGGCAATGACGGGGCTTTTTAGCGTAGTCGAGCGTGTCCAAGCTCGTAATATTCTATGTAAAGTCAGGATTCGAATTCCAGATTCTCCACGAATACGATCCGTGGCATGTAAGCACCCAACACTGCGTAATAGTTCATGTTCAACGCGGCTTAAGCCTTTAGCCTAGTAGAATGTACATGTTACTAAAGTGAGTTGGGTTACCAGTATTTCAGAATCACGGCGTGTCACGGTTTGACTGAAAGGAAGTGACGTAGGCTATAGACGTTTAGCACAATGGTGAAATCCGGGAGAATAACTAGTACGAATCAGGGTTTCTAACCCCGACCAGTGGATCCTAGCTAGTACATTGGGAGTCACTCAGTACAATGACTCGCCGTAGACTACACGGTCCAGCGTGTCCCCTATTTGTAACACCTGTTTTCTTGAAATGATGGTTTATGTAACGATTGAATTTTTCTGTTAACGCCGCACTCCAGCAATATTCCAGCTATATGACGGCGGCCTATAAATAATCGATCCACCCATTTGGGAAACGATGCTATCAACCACGTCACCGCGCCTGACCACTCCACTCAATAAGTGGGCTTATACGACAAGCATAGGTTGCTGGGGACCTGTGTTCTTATCCGGAGTCCCCACAGGGGTATATACTATGAACAATATCATGTATTTGAAACTGTATCCGTACTAACGGCACATTTTCTTTTTTTCCAGATGAAGTCAGTACCCTGCCAACAACAACGTCATCGCCAAATCACGCCCCTCATACATACGGGAATCACGTGGCTCGTAGCTATGACAGCAACCTCGGAAGCTCATACGGCAATCACGTGAGTGGAGGCCATGGTAATCACGTGAGTGGTGGCTATGGCAACCATTACAACAGTAATCACGAACACGAGGCTGGTACAAACTATGGCGGTCCAGTAGGGGGGCGCAGAGGCTATAAGAACTATATGCCCGTGGACAACACCACGGCAGGGACGGAAAACCAAGCCTATGCTTTTGATACCCATCCTCGGCGGATACCACCCCCACCCCCAGCACGAAGCGCACACATGGCGGAACCAGTGAACGAGGAAATACTCCTTGATGACGTCAGGGTGGATCCCTACCCCGCCAGACAGGCTTGAGGGGTTCTAGGGTGGTCGATGCATACCGGCTAGACAGGCCCCAGGGATTCAGGGTTGATACCTACTCGGAAAGACTTGATGGGTGGAATGCTACCAGTTCTGAAGGGGTAGGGTGGATCCCTGCCTGACACGATTGAGGGGAGAGAAGATTCCTGCCTTAACGGGAATTGTTTAGGGGTCTGTATGAATGCCTGTCTGCTAAGCAAGACATGACTGCGTAGATCAGGGTGGATTTATTATAACTTCCACGCGGTCAGTGAAATTGCTGCTTTTTTAAAGATTCAAGTACATAAAAAACACATTCGGAACATACATGTGTCATAACTGAATGTGCAACACCATGAAGTGTGGAACGGGGCCGCCATGTTGTATTCCAACGCTGATGTAGATCGAAGACAGCAGCATGAACATGGACTCCTTCAGCCCCTATACTAGAACATTAAGATTTAACCAAAGCGTGTACATACAAACTGTATTAACAGTGTCACTTTGTCTCGCAACGTCGCGGGTTGTTTTGTGCAGAAAATGACCGCGTCGTCCTGGTGATCAAGTTAGACAAACACTAAATTAAAAAAAATCACATTTGCAGTATACCTGTTAATTGTGGAACATGTTTCCCTGGAACTATGACTTTTTGCCACTGTTTTGTAGTGTAGAGCGTCACAGTACATGTTTTGTCCACACCCGAGACCTGGTTGGAAGAGCCCTATCTATCTCAGACCGATGTGTTCGTCACAAGGATATGTATAACTGACACGAAATGATTCTTGGATGCTGGTTCATCACGGTAAAGCCCTCCTATGCAGTTGCCGGTCAACAGACGGGGTCAATACTCCTTGTTGTTATACCCTAGGCCTTCTCAGATACTGGTCGTCAATTATAGTTGATATGGAACAACCTCTTGAATGCTTTTCATGTGTGCGAACCCCTATCATTTATCGCGACGAACCAACGCAGAACAACTGGTCTATTTCAGCAATGTGTGATGTTAAGCTGTTTTCATTTATTTATACCGAATACAAAACATTGGACTAGTTAATTATTTCGTTTACTGAATATAATCCATTCAAGCCATGGGATCTGTGGTCGGAATGAAAATAATGAAACGTATGAAATTAAAGATCTGAAGTGTTTTGGAGTGACCATCCTCAATTACCCGTGGTGTGTTTTCTCAGTCCTACAAACAATAATATATGTGATATGCTGCATACTCGAGGGTGTGGAAAGACAAGTTAAAGGATTACTTATATTAAATATGTACGTACTACAAATGTACAATTTGTAAAGTAAGATTCCAATAAAATACCATTCTTATTAATTCGGTACTTTGCTATGGCAGGCTATGCGCAGCGACATTAATATATCACGACAAACTCTTAATGTATCATACTTCAATTTTTTTTAGAGCGCCAGACTCTTTCATAGAACTAGTTATTCTGTCGTGCCATGGCAGATTAAATATAGTTAAATGAAAGAATCGTGTGTTGTTTAAATTATTTTGGGTAATATATAAGGTTACATTGACGCTGTGTAACCACTGGTTCGACACGGTACCCAGTGTAGTAGCTCATGTGATAAACATAAGGTAGTGGTGGGTGGTGTTTGTTCCCCGGGGGGTGGGGAAATGTTACGAAGCACAAGTGACAGCCTGAAAACTGAAGCGCTCATAAAATGTGAGCATAGCGTCAACAAACTGTTTTGAAGGACGTGCCTCTTGTATATAAATGTATATAGATACATTGCTATCACCAATTGTTGTCTCATAAATTGTCCTCAACATATCCTTGTGTATATCAATGCCGTGATTGATGTACGTGGCCAATTCATGTGTTGAAGTAAGGTTTTTTTCAAATGTATTAGCAGGCTAGGGTATTACCAATTATGTTTCTGAGCGATATTACTGAAAAGGGTGTTCGATATATCGTATGACTATAGGTAACAGAAGTCGACAGGTTACAGAGTGCTTTTGGTCACCAATATCAGGTTACTTTCTTGAACACGTTATATACACCATGGGCGGATACAGCTTTTTTGAAAATGGGGGGTGCACAATTAAGATCTATTTATTGTCTTCGGTGGTAATTTATAGAGAAGTAAAATATTTTGTTTGAAATAAAAAGGGGTGTGTGCCCCATGATCACAGTCTGTTGTCCCCACAACTTAAGCGTCTAAGGAATTTGCAGGACATTTTAAGCCGACGCTGAACTGGTATCTCACTCAGGTTTATCGCGATGTTTATCAAAAGGCCGCACACGCGGAACTGATGTGTGAACTGTCTCAATTATCAGTATTCAAAATAATATATGTCATTATAGTAACACGTACATGTGTGACATATTACTTGTAGCTGCTCACATTAGTCATTTTTTACTTGCTTTTTTAAGAATGATTTTTTAAAAACATAGAGCCTGATGATGAAAAGAATTTTAGCGGCCTAGTCTAGCAATTGGCACAAGTAAACCAAACAGGTGGTTGATAGTGTGAGCATCCAACTACTCTTGGCACTAAACTGGAGAGATCACAATATGTACTGCAGTATTGCCTTCGTGGAAAGCACATGCACGCTCTGTGTGTATTCTGTTGGCCTTCCTCAGCTAACCACTTCCAGTGATGTTCGTGTTACGACCAGCATACCAAAGCTATATACACCGTGACGTCTCATTGTGAGGCCATATATCGTAAAAAGCATGTATTTGATGTGTAATGCATTGACATTATAACATGCGTGTATAGTCATGTGTCACCATTTGTCATAATAAAACATGCTTTTCTTTACTGCCGTTTTGTCTCCAGTTTGTCACACTCAGTAATCTCGTCACTGTAATCTGTATGTACGATCAACAGCTGATCCCGCTGAAATGTGCCCTATCTCCTCATGTAGACACTCCTTGGTGTCGAATGCGTGTTATCTGCACATGTAGACCCTACAGCAGGACGCAAGTGGTTTATGTCATATTCAGTGTCAACTGGCTGTTTTCAAGAAATAACTTAACACTCACCTTCAAGAATTATTTTCATTAAACGCATGATTCAGTGTTTTTTGATTGATGCGGATGACTTGCGTCATTCTATTACTAGTTCACAGAGCATACGTCAATGTGAAGTGTTGCGCTACATAAGTACAATTATGTTATTATATCTATTTCTATGATTATTATGATTATTATTATCAAAATTAAAAATTAAAAATACAGCAAAGTGGGTTTGGGTGATCCTGGCACAGTCAGGCTGGTTAGGCTCATCATCAGCCCTTACCCGCCCCCCCCCCCCTCCCCCCCCCCCCCCCCCCCCCCCGAGTCAAACCCACCGAGAACTTTTCAGAGAATGTGAAGACTCCCCAACTCTGCAGCCTTCTGCATCACGCAGATTGTCAGAAGGGCTGGTAGCAAACCCGAGTACTCTCCCAATGTCAGTCAACGGATTGGGAGGTACCAAACCTAAGGCAACGAGAACAATGGAGAATCTAACAACTTGATACTTGGGTTGCAAGCGTGACATTTCGAAAGCGAGGTCCGCATATTTGCCATGTTTTTCCTGAATCTTGTCAATCACATTTGTGTCAAAAGAGGACAGAAAAGTCAATAACATAAATATTTTCATTGGATTTATCCAAAAGGACAAGATCAGGTTTGTTGGCCTGGATACGTCTAAGGCTGTATACGGGCCTATTTCAAAGAATTTTGTAGTTATCATTTTCCATGATGCCCTCTACATATTCCGGGTGGTACCATGGATGGACCTCTGTGTCAAAACCACAAGCATGGCGAAGACGGTAATAAAATGATCGAGTCACTCCATCATGTCGCTTAAGATACTGTGTTTGTGCCAAAGCTGGGCATCCACTGACAATGTGTTGGACAGTCTCATTAAATTCATTACATTATCTACATTTCATATTTACATTTTGATGCAAAGTTATAATTTATTATTATTATTATTATTATTATTATTATTATTATTATTCAGCCATTGTCCACAGGAAAACAAGATTTGGACATAACGACATAACGACATAACGAATGTCCATAGGATAGTCCCTGAGCTTTGACCCACAGGAACCACACTATTTGGACATAACACCATACCGAATGTCCCTAGGAGCTGTGGTCAAGGAATCACCATATTAGGACATAACGAAGTGACTGTACGGTCCCTAAGATCTCTAAGATAAAATGTTTGAATCCACAGAACTTAATGAAAGGCCCGGAAGCGCTTTTATCCGTATTAACGTATTAACGTGAAGTGTATGAGAGCTGTTCTCCATGTGCCCTTCAATGTTTCAAAATAATCAGACTTTCAGATCTCTGCGATCTACTGACCATATCAACAGACACAATCTTGTCGAAACTGCCTATGAGACCTTAACAGCTAAAATGTTTTCTAGTCCCCCACTCGGACAAATTACACTGACTCCGAGACGACCAGTCCTTGTTTTAGACTCTCACACAATTCTCTTCACGTAATTTGTTATGACGCGGCCGGGATCGAACCAGTGACCTTCCGCTCTCCGGACAGACGTTCTATCCACAACACAACTGGACAGTCTAACACAGCTTAGGTATAACGTGATGATGGTTAATTACGGTACATACGTCGCCATAAGGGATTCCATGACATACAATCATCCAGGTCGCATTTCGGAGCTCCTCCTGAATTCCCGGTTCCCCTATTTCTTTTGGCCGAATTTATTTTTATATTGACAAGTAACAAACCAGACATTTCAGTTGACAAGGCTGAGATTCTCATGTTCCAGACAGATACTACCTAAACTGTGGTACCGTTGATAGGATAGTGAAATCGTGACATATGTCAGCGCACTACTGTATAAAGCTGACTGATTTCAACACTATTTATATTCAAAGAAATATGAAGTTCGCTGTACTCCTCGTCTTCGCAACTCTGCTGGTGGCCTCCCGTGAGTAGAGAGTCGACACAGTACCCCTATGTGTCCTTTTTTTACCCTCTTAAATATGTGTCCAATATATTTTACGATTTTTGAACAAATTTAAAGTTTCTTTTCTCTACCTGTATTGGAAATAAAGTGACACTCAGCTACAACAACGTGACTTGGTAACTTGATGACACACAGTTTGTCTCGTTGACCGACGCAGCCCATCCGGTCTGTGGCACAGGCTGTGTCGCTGCTGGCTCAAACCAAATCACCTTCTGTCAGAACCTCTGCACCAGCTGTGCAGGACACGTCCATTGTAACACACATAATGATGAGTGCGAGTGTCACGGGAATGACCATACTCACAAGGCACGTACATTATATGCAATAGTTTCAGAAGTGTAATAACCTCTTGCAATCATGAATCTGATGAGCACAGGTTTTGTTTGTTTGTTTGTTGTTTAACGCCGCACTCAGCAATATTCCAGCTACATGACGGCGGTCTGTAAATTTTCGAGTCTGGGTCATACAATCCAGTGATTGACATCATGAGCATCTATCCAAACAATTGGGATCGACGACATGCATCAACCAAGTCAACGAGGCTGACCACCCGATCCCGTTAGTCGCCTCTTACGAAGGGCATAGTCGCCTGTTACGGCAAGCATGGGTTCCTGAAGACCTATTCTACCCCCGGATCTTCACGGGTCGCTGAGCACAGGTATTGGTAGACTGGAAATGACAACAGTCATGACACGACGACCAGACATTGTCCCATGCTACTGTTGACAGTCATATATTAATATTATTTTTATGTCGGATCGATGCGATGACGGTACGGGTTTTTTTCACACATAATTTAATTAAAAGTGTAAATTAGCAAGGCTGGTTTTAAAACTGAATTCCCTAAAACTGAATTTAATTTAGCTGATTTGTTTATTTGTTGGTGAACTGACCCTTTGTTTATTTGTTGCAGCCTTGAATTGTTTCAACAAGGTGGAGATGGATACAAGTCATACGCGTCGTGAATTAATAAAATTATTAGTAAGAATGTTTAATTGTTTATTGTTAATGATTATGCCATACACTTGTGGCAATACCTGTTTGTCTCGGAAGAGAACTGGTTTTACTCCGCCTGAATCGTATTTCCGTTACATCATGGCGTGTCGCCTATATGTGGAAACGTTTTAGAAAGCCCAAAGGGTGATGCAGGTCGTTGAGATTCGAACTAACGATCAGAGGATTCTGGCTCATATAAGGGACACAATTCTACACAGTCGTCTTATGCGCCTGGATACCTCTTCCCTGTGCCAATGTTCTAATGTATCACATAATCACATGTTAAGGTGGATCTTATTTATGTTTACACTTGAGATCAAATATGGGATTCACAAAATGTGGCCCAGTCGTCTGAGGCGCCACAATACGCTATGCAGAGTTGCGTGCCTTGAGCACACTAGAAACGTATTATTGTGGGTTAAAATCCCGGTTCGCCCCGTTTATGTTTAAGGGAAGGTCAGCACCATACCCGTGCTCGTGGGTTTCGCCGAAATGGGAAACGTCAAAGACCTGCAACAGTTTAAGCTGCCACGTCGTGATATCACTGGAATACTGTTAAAAGTGGTAGCTCACTCACTCACTCTATAACGTGATGTTAATTCTATGAACCTGTTTATCGCTGCTAAGTTCTTCATCTGAACAAACCACATAACATACATCCTCGAGTGTATAACACCGCCATTCCATTCATATAAACACCTTGCAGTCCTTCGTCACCATAGCGTCGTTTT